CAAACATAGTAGAGCTGGGTGTAGTGGCTTATACTCTTAATCCCAGCATTTGGGAAATGGAAGCAGTTAGGTCTCTGTGAGTTAGAGACCAGCCCGATCAACATAGCGAGTTCTTGGACAGTCAGAGCCATATATGAGACCCCATCTCAAAAAAAAAAAAAAAATCTAAGAGATATTAGAATCAGTATGGGAAAAGTATAAGCGGCAGAGAGCAAATCCTGAAGGTGAACTTCTTCACTCAGGAAGGAAGGTGTGGCTCCCACGCTGCTTCATACACTCCTAAACTTTCAACTTTTTTCTGATCGATAGACCGGTGGTGCCCGCCACAAGCTCTCTTAAATGCACCCATGGCTATACTCAGACAGAAACACGGCCATACCGAGCTGCTGTTCAAATGGGGACCCGATCCCGGGGGCAGCAGGAGAAGCACCAAGTGGCCAAGCGATTGGCCATCAGGTGACAGACAGACAGTCTGTTCCCCCAAGTGGGAGCCACACATGATGGGGATCAGAGCTAGCGCTCCAGAAATGAAGACAGCAGACTGCATCTTCACTAGGAATGACTTCGAATCCCGAAATATCTCCAGAGATGGAAAAGACAAAAACCTACTTGCCCATGAGCCCTTAACGTTTTCTCCTCGCTCCTCCATAGGCTAGGATGATGCTGATGTGGGTGGTACAGCCTGTAATCCCAGCACCTGGGAGGTGGGGGCAGAAGGACCAGGATCTCAACATCGTCTTCAACTACACAGCGAGTTCTAGGCTAGCCTGGGGTACATAAGAACCCGCCTTAAAGCTGGGCCTGGTGGCACTCACCTTTAATCCCAGTACTTGGCAGGGCAGAGACAGGAGGATTTCATTGAATTCCAGATCAGCCTAGTCTGCAGAGCAAGTTCCAAAATCTATCAGTCAATACATAAGTAAGTAAATGGCAAGCTGGCTAGGAACTATTGTACTCACCCACGTCCACTGCCTTAACTCTCCCAGCCATTCCCATAAGAAACGGTGGCCTTATCTATATGGGAAGTAGAAAAAGACAAGATCTCCTGAGCAAATTGGGAGATGGGAACCACAGGAGAGGGTTGAAGGGGAGGGAAGGAAGCAGAGAAAAATGTAGAGTTCAATAAAAATCAGAGAAAGAGAGAGAGAAAGAGAGAGAGAGAGAGAGAGAGAGAGAAAGAAAGAAAGAAAGAAAGAAAGAAAGAAAGAAAGAAAAAGGAATGATGGCCTGTTGTGTAGGCCGACACTTAGCGGAATTCATAGTCCTACGAGGCTTTCACAGCCAAGTGGCCTCGCTGGAAACTGGGTCTCTCCTGGGGATATTTCATCATTCTGAGGGGTTGTTTAGTCTCAGCAAGGAGCACACTGACTTCCCTTGGCCCAGTGACAAGTAACCCATATATTTATACTATTAGTCCTTGAAGTTTGAAATTAGCTTGGTTACATCCACTGCTTGGTCTTTTCCAGCTGCAGCACAGGTTGATTAAAGGCAGCCGCTTGCGTGTGTACTTCGTGTCCGATTCCACTGCGACTGCCTGAAGCGGTCTGGATGTGCTATCTAGGGGAGCCTCAGGTGTTCACAGTCAATTACGGTAAATTCAGGCCAATCTCACTCAAGCAATCCCACCAAAGAATGAAAGTGAATCAAAGCAAATTGCATCTCAGGAAGAATCCAAGTCAAGGCCACAAATGCGGCAAACAACCTCCACGTGTCCCAATTCCTATCACGTCTGCACTCAGTTCCCCAATCTGGTGCAAAAAAAAAAAAAATGGGATTTAGAGAGTTTATCAAGGATTTAATCAAGTAGCAAGCCCAGTGACAAGTTTTTCTGATATCGTCTTCTTGATGGAATGAAAACACAGAGCCCCTGGTGCCTACGGTGGTCTCTTGATTCTAACAAATTTATTGGTCTCCATTCTGATGAACAGGAAAGGCCAGAAGCAATTTATGTTCCCCACAGCTGGGGTCTGGGCTGGATGTTTCCAGGTTCTTTGCTTTTTATTCAAAGGACTGACATAAAGGCTTATATATATTTGTGAAAATAGCAAGCGACTTAATCCAAAGTGAAGCTATAGCACAGATTAGGCAGGGATACTACCAAGATTGACAGTGAACCCCAGAATACTCAAGGGACCCCATTATTGTTTGAGGTTTCCTTTTACGGGGCTCAAGAGAGGGAAACATTGGATTGCTAAGAGGTCCAATGAGCGTGGTTCTCTGCTTTGATTGGTAGATTATGTCATGTTATCATTTTCCTACTGTGCATATCCCTTCCCATGATGCACCTGATTTTAATCCTACACATGTCTATGTATGCACATGCCTAAGACGGTGGGATTCTCTCTTTCTTTGAGGACAGTTTTGCCTTGGTGCACATGTCCCCGAGACCAGTGCAGACTGGATCAGCCTTTCCATTCTTTCCTGATACATTGAGAATATATCTGAACAGAAACAAAGTTTGATTGCTGTTGGGTAGGAGAAACTTGTCCCATTGTGCAGAGATGGGTAAACATGTAGCTCAATTAGGTGAGCGCCTGAGGTTGCCAGGTGCATTGCTCAAAGAGGAGTCTATGTACAGGTAAAGGAGCTAGGCTGCCCGCTGAATCGTTGAGTGGTGTGAGTGTGAACGTAATTCAAACCGAGTCCGGGTTACTAACGATCCCCTACGCTTGCCTGCCCTAACTGGGTTTGAACTGACAGGATTAGTTCAGAGAGGGCACTGTTACCTTTAGTGATTCAGAGAAACTGCAGAGCTAGGATTACCTGAGATCAAAGCCTGGCTCTGGACAATTTACTAGCTGTGTGTGCTTAGGAGAATTAAACTCTCTGTGCCTCGGTCCCCTCATCTGTAAAGCAGGGTTTAACAGTGCCTACCTCCAAGGGTTATGAGGATCAGCAGGATGGCTCAGTGGGTGAAGGTGCTTGCTTTGCCATCAAGGCCTGATGACTTGGGTTCAGTCCCCTCGGACCCGTATGGTGAGAAGAAAGACATGCTCCCAAAAGTTGTCTCCTGAATTCCACATGTGATCTGTTGTATAAAGGTGCCATTGTGTGTGTGTGCATGCATACACACACACACACACACACACACACACACACACTCTATAATTGAATTTTTCTTAAAAGGATTATGAGTTAAATGGGTTAATATAATAAAGTATTTAAGGAACACCTTGCATCCAATGGCTATACATACTGGCTTGTCATCTAACAGGAAAGTAAATACATCTTTGGGGAGCTTGACTAACTTACCATCCCTCAAGACATGGTTCTAGCTCAATACAGGTACATCTTCTAACGGGATGTAGCTAGTGCATCACTGTGTGGTCCCCAGAACTGTCACTATAAACTCCTACTATAATTCTCCACTGGACTGCCCAACTTTCTCCTCTAGCACTGTCTGTGTGACCTCCCAGCTCAAGACCTAAAAGCCCGCCCCCCCCCCTTCCTCTAGTAGACAAGTAGAAGAAAAAAGAGCCAGGTGGTAGTGGTGGTGGCACACACCTTTAATCCCAACCCTTGGGAGGCAGAGACAGGGGGATCTCTAAGAGTTTGAGGTCAGCCTGATCTACAGAGTGATCTACAGGACAGACTCCAAAGCTACGAAGAAGCTGTCTTGGAAAACAACAACAACAACAACAACAAAGAAACAAACAAAAAGAATAAAAGAGAAAGGCTATACCGGGCAGTGTTGGTACACACTTTTAATCCCAGCACTAGGGAGGTAGAGGCAAATGGATCTCTGTGAGTTCAAGGCTGGCCTGGTCTACAGAGTGAGTTCCAGAACAGCTGGGACTACACAGAAAATCCTCGCTGGAGCTAGGGTGAATCTCAAACCTGAGGTCACTTTAGGAATGTGACTGAACTATCAGTCTAGAGTAAACGCCAGTGTGTAGTGCATCAATCAGAGAACATTGCTAACACCTGGGACCCTCTCATCATCTCAGAGATTAGTAGGGGAGAGAGACCCCGGTACAGACCTGAGTTACGACACAATTTTAGAGAGCAAAGAGTAGACTGGGCTTGGTGTTGAAATCAATTCCTCCGAGGGGCAACAGAGGAGACTAAATGAGGTAGAAGGACTCCTAAGCTCCTATCATCTTGAGTAACCAACCAGTCACATCCACACTGCCCACATGTGGCAATTTAAGACTTGAAGAAACCTGGGCTGCTGTTGTAAACACACAAGCCTGCTAGGGAGCTTGTAGCCCTCGGGGGTCAGGTAGCTGGGTCTTCCAGCTTCTTAATTATGTTAGTTCTATCTGGCAACTGCTACGTAGAAGAAAGGCAAATTGTCTTTCTCACTGGGGAAAAGAAGGGATCCCATTCTTTCTGGTTAAAAAAAAAAAAAGATGCTGCAGAGACATGCAACAACCCACACTGTGGTCTGGGGGAGACTGCATTCCTGTGGCCAGGAGTCGTGAAGAAATATCCCAGGAGAAAGGAAGCTACTCCAGAGAATGGTTACCTGAGAGGCTGCCAATGAGCCATTGTTGGCCCCAGGCCTGGGTCTCGGCTTTGCAGTGTTTGTAGGAAACTCTAGGGTATTCCTAGAACAGATCTGGAAGCCCAGGCAAATGCAGAGAAACACACGCGAGCACAAGGTTCACTAGGCAGCCTCTGACTCACAGGTGCTGAGGAGTCTGAGCCTTCCAGAGAGACAAAGAAGCCAGAGACTTGGCCTTCAGAAACCCAAGTCAAAAGCTACACACGGTGGCTCACACCTACAATCCTTAGTAGGCTGAGGCAGGAGGATTGCCAAGAGTACAAGACCAGTATGGGCTAGAGTATGACTGTCTCAAAAATATACACAAATCTATAATATTCTTAAAGGAAGGACAGAAAAGGAAAGATGGAGACACAAATACTTTTAAGAGCTTTTTTTTTTTAATTTCAGAACAAACACAGGCAATTACTTTCTGATAGCAACAAGCTGTGACTACACAGGAATGAAGCGAGTCACTTCTCACACTTCAGTAATTCAAGCAGTCAACCACAGGTGTCACAGACACAATTTTATTCAAATTGTGCATAGATCTCAAACTCACATTTTTTTTTAAAAAAAAACTTTTTATTCTGGTATCAAAATAGTTATCTCTTTAAAATACCTTGAAAAGCTGGAATACAATTATCTTGCCATATATTAAATACTCTCCTAAAATATCAATCATCTCTCTCCCGCCTCTCACAGGCTCTTACCTCCACTGCCATTCTCATCCTTTCCATTTCTTGGCATCTCTGACACTTATCCAAGAGAAGCATGAAAGGAAAAGATGTTCCTTACAAGCCCTTTATTTAAAAAAAAAGAAAGTAAAGGAAGGGGGGAAAGATGGGAAGGAGGGAGGGAGGAGGAGGGGGAGGAGGAAGGTGGGAGTGGGACATAAAGTTAGGAGCAAGCCAACTGGTGAGTGTTCAACACGACACCACAAAGTCTTTTTAGTACAGCTATGCTTGCCCTCTACTTACATAAACCAAATACCGGTTTTAGCTTGTCGTGCTAATTTGAGCTCAGCAGCACCGTCTACTGGCCAGGCTGACCAAAATCCAACAATGAGAACCCAAACAATTTGACACTGGGTTATTGGGACACGAGTCCAAACTTTTTTTTTTCCTTTAGACATCACAAGTCAACTGGATTCTAGAAAATCCACTATGGACACAGGCTTCCTGCAGATTCCCAGGGCACAGCCCGGGAATGCCAGCTTCACACAGCACTGAAATGTTCCGTCAGAAGCTGGACTCGGGTAAGGACTTCTTCCGACCTAAGGAAAGAGTGTGGTATTTCACCCTCTGCAAGGTGCCGTAAGAATTCTGTTCCCCAGGAATGGTCCTTTGTGAAGTGCCAGCCGTACTGGCTTTAGGGGGCCTGCTGGCTTTGCGGGGGAGGTGAAGAGAACTGGGTGCAGATCTGATGTCCCTCTCCATGTGGTAGCCCACGCTCCGGGCTGGGCTCTCTCGAATCCTGAGGGCAGGGGATGAGCCTCGAGCTTGCTCGTTCATGGCAGGGCTCAGCCTGTCACTCACCAGGGAGATTGGGGGTGCTGGTGGGGAGCTCTCAGCCCTGACAGTCTTCTTGTGCTCTTTCTTCCAAAACACAGACTTCAGAAGAGTGAAAGTCCCCTGTCCCTTGTCTTTGTCAGGGGCTTTTTCCTCCACAGCAGCCCTAGCCTTCATCTTGGGTAAGGTACCTGTGCCGTTGTCCTTCAAGTTTCTGAGCAACCCAGTGGAGGGGGAAGGTGGACTACTCTGGCTGCCCACCTGACCACTTCCCTTCCAGGTTGTCATCTTCTGGCCCTCAGGGCGGCGGGCTTGTTTTTCGTCCCCCACTGAGGACATCACAGTGAGGGGCAGGTCAAACTTTTTGGGGAGTTTGATATCCTGATTTGCATTTCCCGTTCGTGTCCTGACTGTGTTCAGACCGTCATCTAAGGATCCCAGGGCTGGATGGTGGTTGAGGTGGCACGAGGAAAGGGGCACCCCGGTTGCTCCTTGACTGATGTCTCGACCACTGTCTTCACTCTTAACAGGAAGGGTGCCATCTGGCCTAGGCGAGGCTGACTTCTCATCCCCGCCAGCAGCGCGTGTCAACAGCGGCACAATGGACTGGCTGGTGGACCGGGGTCTTCGTCTGGACTCGAGGTACTCCACCAGCTCAACAGATGCCCCAGGCCGTTTCTCCCTGTGTCCAAAGGACCATCTCAGGGGCATGGTCTTGAAGGGCCCATGCCTGGATCGGGAAGCAGGAGGTGTCTTTATGCTAATACTTCGGCCACCAACACTCCGAACCAAAGGCTTGGATTCAACCCCTCCTGAAAGAGACACAGAGACTGTGAACACCTAATAGGGGTTTGTGCAGTGCCAGTCCTCAAGCAGTGATGTGTCAGGTGCAGGGCTGGCCACAGCAACTATAGCATGAGCCAGGCACACAGAGTTCCTGCCCTCAAGGCCACCGATGGCTTCATCCACTATCCACAGAATCCATGAACACATTTAAAACCACAGGGAAAGCCATGGGCAAAGAAGGGATATGGTATCCACAGAGGATTGCTGCCAGGATCCCAGGCAATAGCAAAACCTGTGGATGCATAAACTTCTTCTATGAAACAGAGGGTGTGCAGTAAGCCACACATAACCTTCTGTAGACTAATTCTTCTCTAGATTATTTATGAGACAGACACACAGCAAATGCCATGTAAACAGCTGTTAAGCTCTATCCACTTAGGGAGTAATCACAAGAAAAAAATGTTTGGGCATGTTTAGTACAGACTCCCCCCCCCACACCTGCAGTTATTGAATCGGCAGATAGGGAATCCTACATGTAGAGGGCTGACTATCTCCACGTGCCCTGCAGCAGATCACTGAGGGGCTCCCTCAAGTCAGCTGCCCTGAGATCTAACATCATTATCATCCATCTTTAACTATGTTTATGGACGGAATGATTAGCAAATGTCTCTCAAACTGAGTCATAATTAAGTACTTGTACTTTAAAATGTAAGAGTGTCACATATCCCACAGTGGGCCCAAAAGAAAACAAAGTAATTATAGGCTTCGTCTTATCAGATTTGTGCTGTGGGATGATCGTTCTGTATGCTGTGAATATATATTCCTCTCTTTGATTAATAATAAAAGCTGTTGGACCAATATCCAGGCAGGATAAGGTTAGGTGGAACAATCAAACTGAGAACTTAGATGAGGAGGGGCAGTGTTGAGAGAGCTGCCAGCCAGAGGCTGGGCAGGCAGGATGTGTAGAAAATGAGGTTAGCAATCCTTGAACAATGTGGCAAAATATAGATAGAAATATGAGTTAATTTAAATGTAAAAGTTAGCTAGTAATAAGCCTGAGCTATTGGCCAAGCATTTACAATTAATATAAGCCTGAGTGGTTATTTGGGACTGGGTGGTTGGGACAAGAAACTTCTGCCTACAGAGTGGCATTTTGTATGTTTCTGCATTTTGCAATTACCTGAAAATAGCTAGTGCTTTTGGTATGTAGTATTAAGTAAGGCATTTAGAATCTAAGAAGGTATCATGACATCATGATCCAACTTGCAAACACACACATGCATTCTTTTCTATAGTCCAACCCTTCTAAAGGGAACATACATGATTGACATCGCATGCCTTTCCTGATGTGGGATTCCACTCTGTATGCTGTGAACATGCTTTATTACCATTGGTTATTAAAGAAGCTACTTTGGTCTATGACAAAGCACAATAGAGCAAGGCTGAAATTCCAAGCAGAGATAGAAGAGGAAAGAAGGCAGAGGCAGGGAGATGCCATGTAGCCACCCAAGAATCAAGGGGTAAAAAATCCACAAGCCTTGTGGCAAAGTATAAAATAGAAATGGGTTCATTTAAGATGTAAGAGTTAGTTAATAAAAAGCCTGAACTAATAGGTCAAAGAGTATGTAATTAATATTAAGCCTCAGAATGGTTAGTTCATAAGTGGTTTGGGAACAGGCTGGTGGAGAGAAACCAGTCCAGGGGGAACAGCAGGACAGAGAAAACCTTCAGCCACGCTTCCCGAAGAAGGGTCACTGTCCTCCTTGTACTGCCAGAACAGCTTGATGCCTGACTTGGACAGCCCACATGTCTGCCCCTGTTCCATGTGGGCTACGTGCTTGTTAGTCAAGTACTGAAGCGCGGCTCTGGTGCTCACAGCCGGCTGCTGACAATACACAGCTACTCCTGGCTTGGGAGTGTTAGGGGCTGAATGCTTAGACCCCTCCCATCTCACAAGTGGAAACTTTAACCCCCAAGTTCATGCCACAAGAAGTGAGGCTTCAGAAGAGTGTCCTTGTCGGAAGAGGTAAGAAAGACCAGAGCTGTCTCTGACTCTTCCATAACACAACCCACCCGGCCCCTGACCCCATCCTGCAGAGTCATGAGGAGTACATTTTGGTCACGGGAAGGCCCCTGCCTGCCTATTTCTATTACAGCAGTCCCAAAGAGCTATGACAGAGACCAGCTCTGAAGACAATCAAGGACTTTGGCCACAAAACACCCATGTAGGGAGGTTCTGAGATTCAGGCACACAGGTGTGAGGTCAGCGAGAGATAAGGTCACAGAGCATGCTGGGACAGGAATCTAAGTGCACCGGTACACATCTGCCCGGCATCTGAGAAAGCAGGCCCACAGGGAGCAGCCACACACCGATATCAGAGGTTCCACGGGGATCTCAGCTGCTGGGGTTTTCATATGTCATTTTTAATACCTTTTTCTTTAGAGAAATTTTTATATTGGCCAGGAATAGACCCAATTCCACCCAAAATACTCTGTCATTTCGGTTCGCATTGACCTTGTGGCTCCGCCATTGAATTCTCCACACCTGGGGAAAGATGAAACACGGTTCTGGAGGTGAAGGTGTGTGTGAAGTTTCCTTGTTCCTCATCCTCGGCTCTTAGAAGGGCAGAGAGGGACGTTTTGCATCAGGAGGACAAAGCTATGGCTTTTCAACCTTCACCAGGTGGAGTGGCCTAAGCCCTGGCAGGTGGCAAGAAGACCTGGTTAGTGCTGTAAATAACCACCTTTCTCTTCTTCCTGGTGTGAAAGGGCCCTGGGCCAGGGCTGATAGCAACCCACATTACAGACACCCAAAGGACCCCTTCGGTTCACCTCTTTTTGGGAAAAAGCACCTACTTGTCCTTTCATCTATTTATTACCCACAACAGGATCCGAGGTGGGCAGGGATGGAGAGCCTTGGAGAAACGGAAATAAACAGCATAAGCAGAGCAAAAGCAGCACCCACAGGGCCCCCACTCGCTCGCTAACCAAGCATCCCCCCTCTTTCTCAGGACTCAAGCCCTTCCTCTGGGAGATGGCTCTTATGGAGAGCAGGGTGCTGGAAAGAATGGTGGAATCCAGGGAGTCTAAGGACCACAAAGGACCTATAGGGTTTCTTTTTAATATTTATTTTTATTGCATGTGTGTTTTTCTCCACGTACATGCGTTCCATCTTTGTGCCAGGGGCTGTGGAGGTCGGAAAAGGGAGTCAGACCCCATGAAAATGGAGTTACAGATAGACTTGAGTGGCCATGTAGGTGCAGGGAACTGAACCCGGGTCCTCTGCAAAAAGAGCAAATGCTCTTAACCACAGAGCCACACCTTCAGGCCTTGGGACCTTGCTTTCAGATCATGGGACCACACCTCCAGGCCATAGGGCCACCCCTCCAGCCTAAGGCCCACAATTTTAAGCTGAATCTTCCATGTGGTTGTACACACTCTGCAGCAGACACAACGATCCTCTCAGGTCTACAGGAACCCTCTGTGGTACAGGTGGCATCTGTTCTGCTGATGGATACAGCCCCAACCACAGGGCAGCTGCTCCAAGGGATGCCACCTCTGCTCCTGGCCATGTGCGGCCACCTTAATTCTTGTGTCATTTCTGCTTCTTGGCTAGTGATGTGAACTGCAAGCTGTTACTCTGTGCTGTGGGGCAGGGGCCTCAGGGTCTCTTCTCCCCATCTTCACTCACCTTCAATGGGTCACATCCTTCCAATCCCCTAAGGGCTTCCACTGCAGCTCATCATCCACCCATCATTAATTCATCCCGAGATATTTAATAAAAGCCAACTGTACACCAAAGATTATTTCTTAGTGCTTGAAGAAAGAAATACAAATAAGAACCAACACTCAGGAGACAGAGACAGGCGAATCTCTGTGAGCTTGAGGAAGGCCAAGTTTCAGGCCACTCAAGGTTACATAGAGAGAACCTGTCTCAAAAACAAGAAAAATTCAAGTAGGAAGTGGCTGGGCTCTTAGGATTTGACAAAAAGCAAAAAACCTAAGCTATCGGGTAATACATTAGTAACAGCTGCAATGAATAAGGCAGGGTTAGGGAAAGAAAGGGTGTTGCATGAGTTATGAGCAATATTTGAGAGACCTGAGTGAGAGATGGAGGGAGTTGGGAGATCTGAGGAAGGCAGGCTCCAGACTGCGGGGCAGCAGGTGCAAAGGCCCTGGGGCAGGAGTGACCTTGCTGGCTCAGGCAAGCAGCAGAGAGACCAGAGCTGGAGCACAGGAGAAAGGAGCGTGCGCTAGAGGCATCCAGCCCAGCACCAGAGCCCCAGTCCTTATTTGGAGATCTCTGTCTCCATCTTCCAATGTCAAAAACAACTTCAGCACTCCTTGTTCCTAGATGGACTGTTCATTTTGTGTTTATGCCTCTTGATGGCCTGGCAACCACTTCTGTATGGAGGGCAACCAAAGAACAAGGCCGACTCCAAACTTCCCTGGGTCCCTTAGAAGCTGAGGCAGTAGTATACAGATGAGCCAGGCTACCCATCTTTGTCTGAGACTGATCCAGGTGGACAAAGCTGGGAAAGAGAAGGGCTGGATGTGACACCACCAACTCTTGGGAGCCAAAGTCACCATCTCTTCTTCATCCCCCAAATTACTCCAATCTAGAGAGGGAAGAGCAGAGCCTTGTGGGCAGAAACAGAAAAAAGTGACAACAGAGACCAACTGGGTGTGGTGACTCAGACCTACAGTCCCATTGCTCAGGAAGCTCAGAGATTATACATCCCTGGCCAACCTTGCTCTGGAGTGAGTGCCTGTCCCCAAGTAGAAAGGACAACAGCAGAGTATGAAAAATAACACCAAGCAAAACAAAACCAAGAAAGCAGCTCCTAATGAAACCTAGCAGAGCAATCAATGACCTTGAGGAAGGGACAAAGGGCATCAGGGGCTGAAAAGTGTGACCCACAGGAATGAAAGCCCAAGGGACAAATTGAAGGCTTGTAACCTGGGACCACACCTCCAGGCCATAGGGTCACCCCTCCAGCCCATGGGGCCAGCTCTCTAGCTCAAG